TCCCTACTCCAGGGGTATGTTCAAAGTGGCTGGGTTTCTTTTTATTGGTATGATTTGATGCTGCTACCATTTGGAAGGCAGAAGGCTGGGTGAAATGGCCTATCACGGGTCTTCCAATAAATCAGAGACCCAAAATTCTGCCTGGGCACTCACACAGGCATGTGGGTCTTTGTCGGATGGTGGAAGGAATCAGACAGCCGTGAATTCACATCACATAACCCACAGCACAAATACCATATGTCCTCACACTCCTGCCTGTCAAATCCATCCTTACCCTACTTTGTTACGTGGAGAAAGGCTGGTGATAATTTTTGCAAACCTAAAGACTTTCCGAGCATAAGAAAGGCATATCTGTTGAAAACAGAAGAATAAACTATGATCACCACAAAGGCGTGGCGGGCAGGGTGACAGCTGGCCCTGCAGCTCAGTGGTGACTCTCACAATGACACCACCATGATTCTCCACCTCTGCTCTTTTGCAGACATCACTGGGCAGGGAGGGGAATCTGCTTGATGTCAAGAGAACCATTTTTCTTAAGACCAGAAGACCTGCCTTGGTCTAGAAAGATCAATTCAGACAGGCCGAGCACACAGGAAGAAGACATGGGGAGCCAAGGCAGCACAGGAGAACAGAAGGTAGATACTTCCAGTGGTGCCAGGGGTTGAGGGGGGGGCCATCCCCACACTGGACGCCTTCTCAGGACTTCAAGGCGGCACGGAACTGCACGTGCTCCCAGTGTATTAGATGCAGCCCGCATGAGCTGCAGCCCCGGGCTCCCTGAAAGAGTTTTGCCAAGCCCACAAAACAGGCATTATGAAAGCAGCAGGGGCTTAGAGGGGCTCCTCTCTCCCTTTCAGACACAGCATCTCAAGAGGAAGTCTGTGGTGAGTAGGTAAATGCAATGAACGGTGAGAATGGAGGAAGTGAAGGCATCCCTTGAGATGGAAAGGGAACGGACTTTGGGGGCTTTTGGCTCCCTTACCAGGCTTCTTATCCCCTTCACACACAGAGAAATGCCTTGCTGAGTCCGTGGCCTGCATGCTGCCACTTAACCAGCTCCTCCCCACACATGGGCATTCAGAGAGGATGGGAGACGGCAACCCCGTAAAAGCACGGTCAGAATATTTGGATTCTTTCCAAGTCGAGGGGAAGAAATTCACCCTGTACTTGAGGGCTCACTGTCAGTCTGAAGGAGCCCCCTTCCGCTCAGCTTGGGAGGTGATGGCAGAGGGAGTTCAGGGAACCAAAAGGGGAAGGGCAGGGGGCAGTTCTGTGCTGGTAGCTTTCTGTGGCTGCTCTAAGCCAGTCCTGGGATATAGATGGGTGAGGGGGCTGCATGTAGGGGCGCTGGGGGACCACGACCAGATCTCCCTTCTCTAAAGAAGACAGAGCTTGGGGTCAGTTGTCCACCCTGTGTGGCACATCTTGTGCCCATTCGTGTCCTTTGTCCATCGCTTAGGGTCTTGAGCCAGTATTAATGAAGAAAGAGGTCTGGTTGGAAATTGTGCAGGTGAGGGTAAGGATGGCAAACTTGTAACTCTCTGTCCCTTTCTGGGGATATTTCTGACCCCTGTCACTGTCTCACTGTCATAGGACTGCCTCCATTTCTTCCTTCACCTCCCCTTCTCAGTCCCAGCCCAAAGGCAGGTGGCCCATCCTTTACTGGAGAGACCTGAAACCCAGGAAAAGTACCAGGGACAGCTCCCATGTGCAAAGTACTGTTTCCTTTAGCTGGCAAATCCTTTTTGGATTCCTGCTTGAAGAGATTTTACCCCTTCTCTTACTTCTGCTGACACAAGGGCCTGCTCACCTAACAGGGTGTTTGCTTAGTGGCTAGCTCCTTTCTAAGCTCAGAAGGGCTTTAGAATTCTCCATCAGGTTCCCTCGACCAGCATTTGCCACTCTTCAGTCCACAGGACTGCCCATCACTCTCCTTCCTGTTTCTGGTGGATTCCATCTCTACATCCTGTCTGTGGGTCCCGGGTACCAAATGTGGGTACCAAAGTCCAGCTGAAGTTCTAGAAGCACTGCCGATACAGTAGAGGAAATTGCACATGAGGAGATCAAATAAGAGAGCGGTAGGTAAACTGACTCAAGGGTAGTTCTATAGTTGGGAAGCTTCAGCCAGGAGTCAGCTGCTGTGCTGACTGTGCACCAACCCAGTGCACGTGTGTGCATGTGGGTGCCTTGCAGAGTACGTTTGACAACAATTGATAACTCTAGAGGAGAAACACAGACTGCACTGGGAGCATGGGGATGACAGACCATTGCTCTGGATTTTTCCATCCCAGCCATCATTGTGCTGAAGTCAAGGACACTTTTCACAGAAACTGGAGGACTTCTGTGTACTAAACCCTGCTTTTCAACAAGAATCAGATCTGCAACTTGAAAGTCTTCATTTTCTGTGAAATAACATGACATTGTACATGTGTGTACATGTATATATCTATATAGAGCTGCATAGATATAAAATGTATGTGTATATATACACACATGCATACACATAAACTTACTAAATTTAGGTTGGATGCATTTTGTGGTTTATGGACTTATTACTTGGCACTTTTAAGAATGATGGTAAAATGTATAACATGAAAGTTGCCATCTTAACCTCTTTTCATCTCACAAAACTGAATTCTGCACCAAGTCCATCAGGGTCCCCCCCCCATTCTGCTTTCTGTCTACATGACTATAGCTACTGTAGGTACCTCATGTAAGTGAGGTCACTTGCTTGTCTTTTTGTCACTGGCTTGTTTTATTCAGTATACTGCCCTCAAGGTCCAGTCATGTGTCAGAATTTCCTTCCTGTGGCAAGCTGAATATTAAATGTCCATGTGTTGTATTAATATCCATTTGGTTTGCTTCCCCCTGTGGCTATCACTGCCGTAGACAAGAATATAAATACATCCCTTCAAGACCCTCATTTCTAAACCAGGAGGGGTGGGTGTAATTCCATCACTTGGGAAGTGAGGCAGGACAATCAGGAATTCAAGTCCAGTTTTGACATAGCAAGTTCAAGGTCAGCCTGTGCTACTTGAGACAATGTCTCAAAGGGAGAAAAAAAAGCCCCTGTTTACTCTAACTGTGCTTTTTAAACTGAATGAAGAAATGAGTTGAGAAGAATTATATTTCATACCATCACCTCGTTTGCCTTTTTGTCATCATATGCTTTTATATTCTTAGTCTGTTTTCTGCTTCTATGATTAAAATACCCCAAACGGTGATTTATAACGAAAAGAACTTTATGTCACACAGTGAGAAGGTTAGGAGGTCCAGTATCAACATGCTGTCATCCATTGAGAATCTTCTGTCTGAGGCGCAGAATGTCAGAGAGCATCCCCTGGTGAGGACCAGGTGGACTGATAACTTAAATCTCTCTTCCTTTTACTATAAAGCCACCAGCCCCATTGTAGAGCCCCACCCACATGACTTCATCTAATTCTAATCACTTCTCGAAACCCCGCCCCCCCCACGAGCCTGAACTTCCAAACACTGTCAGCATATCATATCATCTGGAGGCTGAAGTTTCTAGCACAGGAATGTTGGGGGATGCTAATTTCACCAGGGAGTGTCTAAATGACTGCTCAGGGAGCACTCGCCCAAGAGTTTCTGGAGCTGTAGCTTGTGAGTGCTTAGAGAACCACCGCTAAATCATTAAGACTAACAGTTCAGCCCAGTCTCAATGACTAAAACACTGTGCACTCCTAAAACCACTGTTCCCATCTCCCTACTCATAGACTTGAAGTCTGTGAAGGGCGAGAAGACACATGACCCAAGGGGAAAGTCTGAAATGTCCAGTTCCAACCTGTTCCACCACTGTGTGCCCACTGGCAAAGACCTACAATTAACATCTGTGGTCCTGTTTCAAAATCAGAATGGTGGCAGGGGATGAGTTGCTAAAATAATTTCATGAACAACTTGACCAAAGAAACGATCTGTGTGCATGTCTTAGAGAAGTGAGAGCCAGCCGTGTGGACAGATAGGATTCCTCCCTGCCAAAAGCAGCCTCTCTTTCATGCCCCACATTGTCTGCAGGCATGTGAGAGCCATATTCCCCATCATTTGGCATTCAAACAGCTAAGCAGCTTCACTCTCTCTGCTCAAAGATGACTGGGGAACTGAAGTGTTAGCTGTCTACCCTCCTGCCAGGAGAAAAGGGAATCTGGTTCAGAGACCAAAGCAAAACTTATTTAATCTCACCTTTCAAGACCCTGAGATGCGTTCCCCCACAGCCCCCCAGACACAGGGTCCCCCACATTAAAGAGCCACTGAAATCAAATGCACACCCTTACTGGAGAACTGGCAGGGGGTGGGGCGCAGGTGACAGCTTCTGAAGAGTGAATGCACACCTTTGTGCTCTTGCCTTCTTAAAATTCATTCTCTCACCTGCCAGTCTGGAGAATTGCCTATTTACATAACTAGCTGCCTAAAATGGAATACTGGATAATGGTACATGGCGGCTCACTCAATTTGAGCACATCCTCGGGATGAGAGCATGATCCAGAAGCCCTCCGACAGCCCATGCCCCACACTGGCCTGCAGCCATGCTCCATGTGGTGTCAGCCTGGCAGCTAAGCAGATGCCAGGCCTGGATGGGAGAATGGGCAGGGGACCCGATTCCATGGTGGCAGACTGTCTGCAGGGTACAGGCAGCCTGTCCTCCTGGGCTTCACAGTCATGGCCTTGTTATGCCCAAGGTGATGTGTCAGAGAGGGCCACATGGAGGGCCCAAGAAGTGGGGAATCAGAGGATCCATGGGGACAGTCGGCCTGGGGGTAATCAGTGTGCTCTCATCCCAGGCCCTGGGCCAGCCTCGAACCCGGTGGCCCTTTCCACAACACAAGTCTCCCATTAAAACGGGAACCGTGCTGCTCGCTTTACGGGAGGAGTATAAGTAAGCGATAAGGAAGTGCTCTGATCGCGATAATCGGGTATAGTTCCTCAGTGGGCCAGATGTGTCAAAGACTGAAGCTGTGTACGTGTGTTCCTTTATTTTTCAGCGTTCCAGTTCCTGTAGTCAGTTTAGAGAAAATTCCTAACCTAGTGAAGGCAGATGGTGCCAATGTCAAAATGAGCTCCACCACCACCGCCACTTTCTCCTCTGCTGTCTCCACCCCACCTTTAATTAAGCCCACCTTGATGTCCAAGCCAGTGCCACCTTCACCAGAGAAGATCTTAAATGGCAAGGGGATTCTGTCAGCCACCATAGACAAGAAGTACCAAAATGGCACCAAAACCAGCAACAAGCCTTACCGGAGACTTTCAGGTATGTGTCATTGTGGTTAGAGTCTAGCTCATGATAAGAATAAAACTGAGTACCATCTGTAACCCATGATGTGTTTGCAGAGTCAAAGAGCTGTTTCCTTTAAGGGTGACATGAAGTGTTTCTGGACCATCATCTAAAAGTACCAGAAAAGACTGGCTCGGTCATTCCCCAATGCAGCTATGATCCCTGGCCAAGTTTCAAATTTGGCTGAAATTATCCTAGAAGTCCAGGAAGCAGGAGGCTCTGCACCAACCAACAGTCGTAGACTCTGAGGGTCCTGTTAGCCTAGTGGCCCAGTACATACACACCATAACTGACATGGCTCCCCCTGAAGCTTCGCTCCCATGAAACTGGACTGTCTGTGGGATGCCTCATAGCCCATGACATGCTGGGCTGGGACAGCCCACTGAGCAACTGTGCCGCAGAGAGAACTGTAACCTCTGCTTGTTGGCCTCCTGGCTTCTGGGTTGATTCTGCAGTTGGGGCTGCAACTGCCTTTCCCCCATAGCCAGGCTGGGATTCCCATTGGGAGCTCACAGACCAGCATAGCAGATGGGGTTGTTGAGAGCCTCTCAGAGGCGACCATTGCCACTTTAAAGGATGGTGTTTGCTTTGAATCTGTTGTGGAACTAAATCTGACTTGTTCTGCTGTCTCCAAATGACTGGAGAAGCTATGACTTCATAGTTGTGCATATGCCATGGGCTCCCTCTAATATAGCTGGGAAAAACAATGCACAGGGAAAGCTACCCTTGAGGATGTCACAAACAGGCATGGTTTCTAAGCACCCAAGCAGGTGTACTTTTAAATTTCTACTTCATATTTAATTGTATTTTCTGTCTTATAACTGTATTTTAAAAATGTGTTTTAACAGTACTTGGGCCTACCCCAAAACATTCAAATGAAACAACTCTGCACCTCTTTCCATGTTCTGCTTATCTACAGCCAAGATAAAGGCAGAGCATCATAGGGCTTCATTGTATAGACTGAGTCCTCCATTGCTAGCTCTCTCTTCCCAAATGGAATGTGCCAGCTTATTTGGCAGAGATGGGTGGCAAGATCCCTGTGTGTGTGTGTGTGTGTGTGTGTGTGTGTGTGTGTGTGTGCAATGTCCAAAGGCTATGGGTCCCTTATTGCTGCAATAACACCACCTTGAATAACACTACCTTGGCTTCTTCCAGCCTGTGCCCCTATCTGAAGTGGGGAGAATTTTACGTTTTATAGGTTTTGTGGGTTGTCTTGTCTCAGTGGGTCCTTTTCTTGTTTCTTTACTTTCTCACACATTCAACAGCCAACTCCTGTCCCGAGCCAAAACCCTGTTCAGTTCCAACGTGAGGTGCTGGAGTGAGTTTGGGCACGGGCCTGACTCTGGCAGACCAAAGTGAAAGACCTCCACAGCAGGCAGCCTGACACCTGCCCTCCTCCCCCACTGCCTGCTAGACAGAGCTCTCTGTGTAGAAAGGGAAGGAGGCATTCTGAAGGCCCTGGGGATAGTTTGTGCCCAGCATCAAAGCCCCTGATAGCAGCCCCTGCTGACCCCCAGACCTTTGAAAATAGAGCATTCATTTATTATGTCCCAAGTTTACACCATCAATTTCGGACAGTTTCTGGCTAAGGAACTCTTCAGTTTGCAGTAATGGAGGCCCTCCTAGACACTTCACCTTCCTAGAGACCTGGCACCTCCCTGATCACGTCTTCTCCACAGCAGTCTTCTGCTGCTTACCACCCTTGGCACCCACAGAGCTGGGGCACTCCTACCCTGCGGTTTGCTGGTGCCTTCCAGAAACAGCACAGATTTTCCTAAAGCCTGAGGGTCCTGGAAAGATTGCCACACATCCCCACATTTTGCAGGTGTGGTGAGTGTTTTTGTAATTCTCAAAGAGATGAAGGATCACAAGAGGCATCAAAAGAACAGTTAGCAGTACCTTCCATGGAAGCCATGGGCAGTCTGGACAGAAAGGAGGACACGGGGAAGCACTCCCTGCCCACACAGTCATCCCTCATCCTCAGGCCAGTGCGTCCCGTCCAGTCTCACCCTCCTGTGCAGCGCTGGCCCAGGGCCACAGGCAGAGTAAACCAGGAGGTTAGCAGACCACTTTCCTTGTGCCTTCAAGTTCAGCACCCCAAGTCACACTGCCATCTTTCTCCTGCCCCTGTCTGTGGCACTGCCTGAATGTTACTGGCTTGGGAAAACGGCTTTATTGATCTGAGGCCATGTGGAAAGCCTTCACCAAGGGCTTTGGAAAACACATGAGAGACCATTTTGGCATGTCAGTGAACAAGCTTCCACTTAAATAAACCAGAAAGGCAGAGGCAAGAATGGAGAGTCTCAGAGGAGAGAAGGAAGGGGTGTCTTTAGGCTTCAGGTGGGTCTCCCCGCTCTGCAAACATTGTGCCCAAAGTGCCAAGGACCTGTGGCGCTATTTTAGGTAAAATAAAGTATTTGCAAAGAGCATGGTCCCTCCCTTTTGCCGCCTGTTCCCGCCCTGTTCTCTGTACCCGACTCAGACTGTCTGGGTTCATAGTGGAGCACCATTTCCCTGAGTGGTTCTCGAAGAATTTTAGCAGCTGGTTGGGGGAAAAAAACAAAACAGATTGCCTGACAATGTCTCACTTGTTGGTGCAAATGTGATTTTTTTAATGTAGTCTTAATGCCAAACCCTACTTAGTCTCCTTTTTTTCTTATATTTTTTGTTTGTTTCTTAAACCAGAGAGAGAATTTGACCCAAATAAACACTGTGGAGTATTGGATCCCGAGACAAAGAAACCTTGCACAAGATCCCTCACCTGCAAGGTATTTCTCTTTCCATAAAAAAAAAAAAAATACTTCCTGCTCTTGCCGGAGCCTTTGTCGAAATGTTTGCATGCCACTCTCTGCACACCGCAGGGTGTGGAACCTCGACATGACCTCCAGCTGTTCTTTGTAAGGGAAATGCTTTCTTCTCTGTCCAAGGTAGCATAGTGCCTGCCTCAAGCTGGCTGGCTTTTTAAGGGGAAGAAGGAGGAAAAAAGGAAAAAAAAAAAAAAAACCACCCTAGGCTTCCAGTGTTACTTGGGAGGCCAGACAGTAAATTGTATTTATAGGCACTCACAGGCGGCTCTAAAGCCTGCTACGTTTTAATGTATGCAGGAACGGCGGTGGCGGCGGCAGCGCCCAGAAAGGCAGCCCGGAGGGGAGGATGCTGTGCTGCTGATCTAGTCCCTCGGGGTGACCAGGGGACAGGCGGACTCTAGGCGTCAGCCCCTGGGTAGCCTCAAGCCCCAGATTTCCTCCTGTCTTTCTAGTGCAGTGCCTCTTGGGATCCAGGCTACGGCCCTGTTTGCCTGGGTCGACTGGAGCCTACCCACCCGCTTGCCCTCGCGGGTGTCTTTCATCTGAGGCTGTCCTGGGTTCCGCGCAGGAGCTGTCATCTCATGGCATTTGTCTGGAGGCAGCCTTGGCTTCTTAACACCTGGAGTGTAGGGCATGGTTGCATTCAGTTCGAGCGGCGTCTGCCTCTTCCGAGCCACAGAACAGGAGCTGTTGTCTTGAAGTTGACTTTTTCAAGCACCTTTAATTGCGTATGGTTGCAATTTTGGAGATGCAGGCCGTGGGGAAGCAGGTGTATGTGCTGATCAAAGAGGCTGTGCTTCTCATCTCTCTTCTCCGTAGACACACTCGCTGAGCCATCGCAGAGCAGTCCCAGGCAGGAAAAAACAATTTGACCTCCTCTTGGCGGAGCACAAAGCCAAGTCGCGGGAGAAAGAAGTGAAAGAGCACCTCCTGACTTCCGCTAGGGAAATACTTACAAACCCACCTGGACCGGTGCCTGACGCTCTGCAAGGATCTTCCGGGAGCACGGTGGCAGAGCCGAAAGTAGCATCCCCACCAAAATCCAGGCCGCTCAACTCTGTACTTCCCAGGTAAGTCGGCATGGCGTCACTCACTCAAGGCACTCTGCTGTGCCAGGGGCTGTGTGTGGCCCGCGGGTGCTTTAATGAGAGCTTTTAGTTCCACCTCCCAAGACTGGGTGAAGTTTACATAAGATCCCGCGCCTAAGGGGCTTAGCCGGGTACCCACCACATAGCAGTCAACAGATTTTACTGCTGTAGTCACCGCCGTCAGCCTTCCTTCTATCAGACAGTGTGGTTTACAGTGTGAGCTGGAAATAAATAAAATAAACGCCGGCGGGAGATTGGCCCTTCAACCACCTGGCAGCTTCCTGTCTGCCTGGATTTTATGTGATTTGAAGACGCCTTGGGGCAGAAGGGGGTAAGGCTCTGTAGAGAAGTAGTTAGAACAACTTATAAACTCCCGGGACCGGCTTTCCCACTTGTCACAAAGACTCATTTTCACAGCCCCCAATGGCCAGGACGAAGGGGAGGCTGCTGGCTGAGGGTGAGGGTGAGCCACCTGTTTGAGGTTTCATTTGGTTGCACTAAATGGAAAAGAAAGTTCAGGAAACAAAATTACAATCCATTTGGATTAAAAGCAATTTAAGATCTGTTTGTTTTGATGGGCAGGAGACCAATTTTCAGGTAACAGGACCAGAATTAACTATATGCATTCAAAAGTGTTTACAGAGGACTCTATCTAGCAGCAAAGTGTTGTCAGGCTAGGGGAGAAGGACAAACGTAACCAGACCCTGTTTTCCAAAAACATAGAGTTCAGAAAGAAAGACTCAAATGTTCATGCTTGGCGTAAAAAGGAAATAATACTACTCACCAAGACGTGCAAATAGTGGTATTATCTGATTTTTTTTATTTTAAATGCATGAATGTGTCCCAAAAGGTCATTGTTCAACCAATTAGTTTTCAAAGAACATCATTAGAAAAGAGCAGGGAGTTGGATTTTAAAGCAAAAAAATCTGTTGGGGCCGGGTCAAAGGTTGTGGCGCACGCCTTTAATCCCAGCACGAGGGAGGCAGAGACAGACCCATCTCTGTGAGTTCGAGGCCGGCCTGGTTTATAGAGTGAGTTCCAGGACAGTCAGGGCTACACAGAGAAAGCCTGTTTCAAAAAACCAGACAGCAGCAGTAGTGAAGAATCTATTTGGTAGCAGTTGATCATGGTCTTCTACCTGTTGTGGTCTAAGGGAAATGGACCCTCTGTAGTGTGGTTAAGTCTGGCCCCAGGCATTTGGGAGCAGACTTAAGTTACCTTAAACTCCCAAAATAACTGCCGCTGCTTCTGTTTCCATCACTGTGGATGCTTATATTCCTGCGACCCCTTTCTATGCAAGATCATTTTATAATTACTTCTCACTATGATGCAGGTATTGGCCAAAGGTGTTACCCTTGTTTTAGAGTTGAGAAAACAACTCCATTACAAAATTATGGGCTTCAACTGTATAAGCAGTTGTTCCCCATTTTCCATGACCCCCTGTAGGTGCTTGAAACTGCAGATAAAAACCAAACCCTGTATATTCTATGTTTCTTCCTATACATGTATTCCTATGATAAAATTTAACTTGTAAATTGGACATAGTAATTAATAATACAATAAAATAGAACAATTATAAACATATATTGTAATAAAATCATCAGCATTACTAATCTTGCCCTTTGGAACCATGATTAAATACAACAAAGGTTACTTGAATTCTTATACTGCCGTACTGTTGCAATTGGTCTAAAAAAGGCTGCTAACTGACTAATGGGGGCAAAATAAAGCATGGGTATATTAACAGTGGATGACTCACATCCTAGAGGGACAGAGTAGGACCACTCAAGGTTTCCCCATACTCTCCAGAACTGCATGTGCTAGGAACTTATGAACTGTTTACGCATACAATTTTCTATTTAATATTTTAAGAGCTCATTCGACCATGAGTGACTGAGACTGGAAAAGTGGATAAGAGCAGACTATGTAGAATGACTTTCAAATCCTTTGTAGCTCTTGAATATTTATTTTTCATTACAACTCATCCTTCCACAGTACCTGATACTGGTAGGCTGGCTCTACCTGAAACTGCCCAGAGCCATTATCCCCAGAGAAATCATGGTGGATCCTCCAAGGATTCCCCAAGCAAAACCAGTTTGATAGCTCTCTTGTGGGGGATGAGATGGGGTCTTGTGTAGCTCACAGCTGACTTCAGAATCTCTACAGAGACACCAAGGCTTGCCATAAACTCCTTACAGTCTAGCTTCATCCTTCTGAGTGCTGATCACAGGCCTATGTCCTTTGAAGTCTGACTTAGCTGACTCTCTCATTAAACAGCTCTCCAACGATTTCTAGCTGATGTAGACTCTGCTTTATCAGTGCTGTCTGAGTTAACAGAGAAGTAAGAGAGAGCTGCTAAAAATAGCACAGGCAGGGAAGTCCCAAGGGTCTTCTCAGTTTTGTTCCTTGTGCTGTGAGTTTTAGGAGAATGTCCACTTGCAGGAAACACCAGGTGTTTGTGTTTTCTTTGGGAAGCAGGAGACCTGGATAAGCTTCATTTTGAAACAAATGTCTTACAAAGAAAAGAAACAAAGCGTCAGGGAATTGTTCTGTGGGACAGGGCTGGAGTTTTTCAAAGTGAATGAATGGGTTCAGGTCAGTGAAATCCTGTACAGTCAGGTTGCAAAGGTATGGTCAGAATTTAACACCAAAATCGCACAAAACCTCCAAGAGCACACACACATTTACTCCTATTAATGGTGTGTGTGTGTGTGTGTGTGTGTGTGTATGATATTCTGTCAATACTAACAAGCAAAAATAGTTATCACACATGAATGAATATTTTTTGAGACAGGGTTTCTCTGTGTAATAGTCCTGGCTGCCCTGGAACTCACTTTGTAGACCACGCTGGCCTTGAACTCATGGAGTTCCATCTGCCTCCTCTGCCTTCTGGGTGCTGGGAATAAAGGTGAGCACAACCATTGTCAGGCTTGAATGAAACTTTTATAATCCTTTCCACTCTTGAATTCTCTTTACAGACATTGGTAACACATGTGACTGTAGGGGTGAGCCCACAATACTGTCCACACCCAAAAGGGCGGGGACAGGGAGATGAGCACAGGTGGGATATTTAAGGAAAGGAAAAGTAAACGTACTCTCTCTTGGAAGCCTGCCACGCTTCTGATCTCCCAGCTTGTGTGTAAGTTCTTTCTCCAGTAAATAAATATATTATTTTCCATATTGCATTGACCTCCCTCATCATGTGACGTCTTATTCATCTTTTTTATGATCTTAACTGCAACCCATTCTTGTGAAGGACTGGTAAGAAAGAAACTTGGGGTCTAGACTTCGAAATCATGACTTAAATTGGGGTTGATGGTGTCTCAGTAATCAAAAGGATATCGAGAACTCAGCACCAGCCTGCACTACACTGTGAGTCCTAGCTTAAATCAGATAACACAAGTTGCAACAGCATCGACGCAGAACCCTCTCCTCCATGCTCTCTGACTAGATAAGCTTAGCCATGGCTCTGATTCCCTCTAGCCTCAGATTGCCCAGCTATAAAATAGAGCCAATAAAAATTTAGTGAAGGGCCAGAGAGATGGCTCAGTGGCTAAGAGCACCTGCTGCTGCTCTTTTTTGTATTTTTGAGACAGGGTACTACATACTTTCTATGTAGTTCTGGCTGTCCTAGAACTCACTCTGTAGACCAGGTTGGCCTTGAACTCACAGAGCTCTACCTGCCACTGTCTCCCGAGTGCTGGGATGAAAGGCATGTACCACACCTAGTGGCACTTAGTGCTTTTGCAGAGGACCAGGACTCAGTTTCCAGCACCCACCTGGCAGCATACAACCACTGTGACTCTGACTCTAGGGGATGTGTTGCCCCCTTCGAGCCCCTAAGAACACCAGCAAATACTTCCAGTTGTGGTCATTTTGTGTTGCTGTTAAAAAAAAATCACCTGACTCTGGAAAATGTATAAAGAAGAGAGGTTTATCTGGCTCACAATTCTGGTGACTACTAAGCCCAAGCAGCGTGGGCCCAGCCCCCTAGCACCTCTCTGGCTGAATTATACATGGCGGAGCAGCAGGAGGGCAACTGCTCTGTCTGCAGAGGTGGCACATGTGGAGCCAAGAAATGAGACCAGAGAGCAGTCAGACTCCCTCTCTTGTATGGGATTGGTGCCTTTGTCACCTATTATCTCCCTTTTACTACAACGTGAAGGTTCTACTACTTCAACACTGCCACCTTGGGAGCCAAGGCCGCAGGGTATGAACATTTGGGGAAAGTCCTTATCCCAATTATAACACACAGAGATTGACCCCATTTCTTTGTCCTGTACTCTAAGGGAACACAATTCTTCCCCCCAGAGAGCCCAAGATTATAGGTCCTAGCCCAGCCAAATGCCTCTAAACTCAAGGGAAAGGAAGGGAAGGAAAGGGGAGAGAAGGGAAGGGAAGGAAGGAGAAGGGAGGGGAGGGAAGGAAAGGGGGAAGGGAAGGAAGGAGAAGGGAAGGGAAGGGAAGGGGAGGGAAGGGAAGGGAAGGGGGAAGGGAAGGAAGGAGAAGGGAAGGGAAGGGAAGGGGAGGGAAGGGAAGGAAGGAGGAAGGGAGGAGGAAGGGAAGGGAAGGAGGAAGGGAAGGAAGGAGAAGGGAAGGGGGAAGGGAAGGAAGGAGAAGGGAGGGAAGGGAAGGGGGAAGGGAAGGAAGGAGAAGGGAGGGAAGGGAAGGGAAGGAAGGAGAAAGGAAGGAAACAAAGGTGAAGGAAGGGGAAGGGAGGGGAGGGAAGGAAAGGGAAGAAAGAAAAGAAAGGACAGGGAAGGAAGGAAGGAAAGTCCACCTGGGTTGTGAAGGGTCAGGTTATATCTCCTAGGGAGAGGAAGGGGACATAGGCTGTGGAAACCAGAGCCTATGTATCACTCTGGATATATTGCGCACATCCAGACTAAAGCGTCAACTGGCCTTGCAATGGGTCTTGCAATGCCAGGGGTGATGTGGAGATGGGCAGATGGTCCTAGGTTGCTAGGTGAGGATGGGGGTGT